CTGTAAAATAAATCGCGCAGTAATAGCATAAACCTACTTGAACACTACTGAAAATTGACTCAAACTTCCTGCAAATTTTGGAAGAATGTGTCATCTCCTTTGTTGGGGGTAATCTCAAAAGAGATTTATTTATCTCATTGATCTGTCATTAGAATTAGTCATGCTGGAGTAGGTGAAGGTGATAAAAGAAGCCACGTTAAACACTCAAGCGACTACCATTTTTAATTTTTCTTTCAGAAAATCACTAAACAAGCGAACCTTCGCAGGTTGTAAACGAGAGGTTGTGATCATTTGTACCGTAACTGGTTCAGGTAGCCACTCGGTCAGAATCTGTTGTAGTCGTCCGCGTTCAACTTCTGGTTTAGCAATGGTGCTGTCGATCAGCCCAATGCCTGCGCCAAGACAGATTAACTCTCGGATCATTATATAACTGTTGGCCACGAGTGGGCAATGGAGTTGTAGTTTGTGAGTTGTTTGACTCTGTTTGGTTGCAACCTCTTGATTTTGATTGGTTGCTTGTCTGTGATGCAACTGCCAATAACTCATACCATTTTCTGCAAATAGTGCAACGCAGCGATGTTGTGGCAGATCTTCAGGCGTTTTGGGTGTCCCCATTTTTTGGAGATAGGTGGGAGCAGCATAGAGTGCAGCTTGAAAACTCGCAATAGGTTTTGTCACCAAGTTTGAATCGGGCTGTTTACCTATCCTTAAGGCAAAATCAAAAGACTCCACAAACAAGTCAACCTTACGTGAGCTCATTTCCATTTCTATGTTAATGGCTGGGTATTGATGCTGAAAATCTTGCAGAATATTTGGCAAAAAGAAGATCGCAAAATCTTGGGTACAGGTAAACCGCAGTGTTCCACTAGGATTAAGCACTAAATCATCCAATTGCTCATGCGCAGTACGCGCTGATTGAACTAATTCCGCACACCGCAGATAATATACCTGACCAACACTAGTGAGCTCAACATGACGGGTATTGCGGTTAAATAATTGTATCCCAATGCGTTTTTCTAATAGTTGAATGCGGCGCGACAAAGTAGAGGTCGAAATCCCTAATGATTGTGCGGCTTTTAAGAAGCTAAGATGTTTACCTACTTCGACAAATAGCGGTATATCTCCAAAAAATTCATGCATTTGGTTATTATCCCATTTTTAAAATAGTTAGTTTAAAATTTAATGATTGTTTTATATTTGAGCGATGATATCATACCACCTCAACAACTAAAATGGAGTCTAGAAATGAACCAAACAACAGGATATCAAGCTTTAAATTTGAATAACACAGCTTTGGTGCTACTTGATCATCAAGTGGGAACAATTAATTGGGCGGGCGAGTTGGCTAATCAACAAGAGCGTGATCAACTCAAAATGTGGACAAGAGTGATTGCTCGTTTTGCAAAAAATGCTGGCATGCCTATTGTGTTAACCAGTAGTATGGAGGATCAACCACAAGGGCCTTTATTGCCAGAATTTGAAACAATTCTACCAGAGGAATACGCAGCGCGAATCAAACGAACTGGCGTTATTAACGCCTGGGACGATCCCGCATTTGCGGCAGCTGTACGTGCTACGGGAAAAAAGAACTTATTGATGGGCGGTTTAACAACAGAAGTATGCCTAGTTCCACCAGCATTATCTGCCAAAACAGAAGGTTTTAATGTGGTAGCCTTGATGGATATTTCTGGTGGTAATACTCGTATTGGTGCTGAAAATTCACGTGTGACGCTACAAAAAGCTGGCATAGATATGATGACAGTTACACCTATGATTACCCATATGTTGGGTGACTATACGAATCCTGCTTCGCAAGCATTTTTCGAGGCTTTTGGAGCAGAAGGTGTATTTGCAGCATTTGCGCAGGGAAACCTACGGTAATGCATTCACATCATAGGGTTGTATCAGATAAAGCATCTAATGTATCTAATACACCAAAGGCACCTAAACGTTGGATGTCAATTTTGGCTTCTTTTGTTGTGGTGTTTCCAACAGTAGAATTATTGACCAAGTTTTTTGCCCCTTGGTTACGGTCATTTTTGCCACCATTGGTGTGTGATGTATTGGTAGTTGCACTCATGTGTGTGATTTTTTCCTACCTTTTACCGTGGGTAAATAGGCAATTGCAACATTTGCTGCAAAAGTATGATTATTCATAGTTGAGTTGATGAGTTAACTTGAATTTTCAACAAGGTGTATGCCGGTGATGGCAAATTCCAATTCCTAAGCTACCGCGCAATTGATTACTCCTCCTAGCCTTACACTTGTATGGTCTTGTTGTTTTGTCTACAAACTCGATCTGGTTTTTGGGTATATGTTGTAAAACAATGGGTTATGTAATCACCAAAATACACCTTAACTGCAAAAGTAGGATTGTAAAACGGTCTTTGATTGGAGAATTCAATGAAGTTACAAAAAATAGTGAAACAAGTCAGGGGTTCTTCTCATGGACCGATCACACGCTTGATTAGCCCTGAGGGTGTTGGGGCATTATTAAAACCATTTATTTTTCTGGATTTTTTTGACGCAGAAATTACGCCTGGTTTTGGTTTTGGAATGCATCCTCATTCTGGTATTGCTACGTTAACGTGGCAGCCAGATTCTGATGTTCAATACGAAGACACGACCGGGCAAAAAGGGCTGTTGAAAGCAGGTGGGTTAGAGTGGATGAATGCGGGTGGAGGTGCCTGGCATCAAGGTCATTTAATGGGAACGGGATGGGCGATGGGTTTTCAACTATGGGTCGCCATGCCACCAGGCATTGAAAATGGCCCTTCCCACGGACAATACGTGCCCCCAGAAAACGTACCTATCTTTGCAATTCCAGGTGGTGAAATCAAAGTATTGTTAGGCGAACTTCGTACAAGCGATCAGAGGACTGTAACTAGCCCAATACCCTCTCATCAGGATATGAACTATTTGGTAGTGACTTTGCAACCAGGAGCAAGATGGCATTATGAGCCTCCTGTACAACACAATGTGGCATGGGTTTTTGCTTTTGAAGGACAACCGACCATTCAAGGTGAGGCTAGTCATCAAAGTTTGTTAGTGTTAAATGGTCAAGGGGCAATTGATATTGCTGCGCCTTTGACAGGTGCTCCGTCACGACTGATGGTGGGAACTGCAAAACAGCATGCACACGATCTCGTTTTGGGTTCAAGTTCTATCCACACGAGTGAACAAGCACTTGCTGCTGGGCAGCAACGTATTCGTGCTTTGGGTTTGGAGCTTAGAGAGCAGGGACGTTTGTGAGTAAGGCCATTGCACAATTCCATTTGGGTGCTAAGAATGTGTATTGTTAAAATATCTCTAATCAAACAACGTCATTTGTTGATCTAGATAACTAATTCCATTTCCCGATCAATCGTGTAATTGTCACTTCTCCTCGCCTTGCACTTGTCATGTCGTCGTTTTTGTTTACACAATTGATCGGAAAATGGAATAAGAGTATGAGCGGCAATAAATGCACATTTGTTTAGAATTGGCTAAGTTTTTTGGAGGGGGCTGGGTGAGCAAGGTTAAGATGATTGAGGATGTTGCCACGCCCTCGCAAGAAGCTCTTGCGCATTAGCAACTTAACTTTTCATGTAAGGGCATATTGCAACGGCTAGAAATAAAACGTTTTGTCGCCATCTTCATCGACGGAATTTTCAAATTCTTTAACGTTTTCTGTGGTTTGATAGAAGTCCAAGATGGTGTCGAGTACTTGTTCGGGCTCATCGATGATTTTCATGAGGTGAACATCTTCTGGGCTGATCAGTTTCATGGGAATCATCACTTCTTCAAACCATTTTATTAGGCCTAACCAAAAACTAGAGCCAACGAGCACAATGGGGACTTTACGCGATTTACCAGTTTGGATCAGTGTTAAAACTTCCGAAAGCTCGTCTAAAGTGCCAAATCCACCTGGCATACAGATTAATGCATCAGAGTTTTTAACAAACGTGACTTTACGCGTAAAAAAATGTCGAAAACGCATGGAAATGTTTTGATAGGCGTTGCCCGATTGTTCGTGTGGGAGTTCGATATTTAAACCAACGCTAGCGCTGCGACCATCAAAAGCACCTTTATTGGCCGCTTCCATAATGCCAGGACCACCACCTGAAATGACAGCAAAGCCAGCATCTGAAAAAAGTCGTGCGATCTCGATCGTCTTTTGGTAATATGGTGAGTCTTCGGGTAAACGTGCGCTGCCAAAAATAGAGACGGCAGGACGCAATTCTGACAAATATTCAGTAGCTTCGACAAACTCGGCCATGATGGTAAACAATTGCCAAGAGGCGCGCGCCTTTTTTTTGGTGGCCATGCGTTCATCGACAACATGACGCAAGGGAGGAATGATTTTACGCGAACGCTCGTGATTCATTTGAAGGTTTCCACAATTTAAAAAACGCTTATTATACAATAATATGACCATGACCCCTACGCTTTTGTTAGTCGATGGCTCGAGTTTTATTTACCGAGCTTTTCATGCTTTACCCAATTTAAAAAATCGCCAAGGTGAACCAACGGGCGCACTGTATGGCATGATTAATATGATGAAACGCTTAAGGGACATGTATCCCAATGCCTATGGCGTGTGCGTGTTTGATGCCAAAGGCCCAACCTTTAGACATGATGCCTATCCAGACTACAAAGCCAATCGACCACCCATGCCAGAAGAGTTGGTTGCCCAGATTGAACCGATTCATCAGGCGATGAGTTTTTTTGGCTGGCCAATTGTCATGATGGAAGGTGTTGAAGCCGATGACGTGATTGGTACACTGGCGACACAGGCCAGTCTAAAAAACTGGTCAACCATTATTGCAACGGGCGATAAAGATATGGCGCAGCTGGTCAACGAACGAGTGACTTTGATCAACACCATGAGCAATGAGTCTTTGACCGTGCAAGGTGTTTTGGATAAATTTGGTGTGCGCCCAGATCAAATTATTGATTATTTGGCTCTTATGGGAGATGCCGTGGACAATGTTCCTGGTGTTGATAAGGTGGGACCCAAAACAGCGGTCAAGTGGTTAACACAATATCAGACCTTAGAGGGGGTGATAGCCCATGCAGAGGAGATCAAAGGTGTTGTGGGAGATAATCTGCGTAAAAGTCTAGATTGGCTACCCAAAGGGCGCGAACTCTTAACGATTAAGTGCGATGTTGATTTAAGTGAGGTGGTTGGGGATTGGTCAGTGCTTGAGCCAAAAAGTCCAGACAAAGAGCATTTAAAACAACTTTATGAACGATTTGAGTTTAAAACTTGGTTAAAACAGTTGCAAGGAGAGTCCAACGATGCCAAGGCTCTTGCGACTGATGAACAACATGATTTATTTGCGACCACCGCTACTTCTGAAGTTTTAGCGGTTGCCAAACCTCTTGGCGATTCACTTGCTTTGTCAACGCTGCCTAGTGAACCTGTGCAGGTGGTTAAACGCCGAACTTATCATTTAATTCAAGAGGCAAGTGATTTGGAGTCTTTGCTCCCCGTTTTGCTGGGTAGTTCAATGACTGCCCTTGATACCGAGACAACGTCCTTAGACCATCTGGCTGCACGGCTGGTGGGGATTTCCTTTGCTTTGGGGGAACAGGCTTATTATGTGCCACTAGCTCATGAAACGATGGAGCCACAACTCACTATAAATCAATGTCTTACCATTCTTAAACCTTGGTTAGAGGGAGATTATCCTAAGGTGGCGCAAAATGCCAAATACGATTGTCATGTTTTTTTAAATCATGGCGTAAAACTAGGAGGGGTGTGTCATGACACGATGTTGCAGTCATATGTGATTGAGGCCGATCAAAGCCATGGATTAGATGCGCTGGCGGCCAGACATTTAGGATGGCAAATGATTTCGTATGAAGATGTGTGTGGAAAAGGCGCCAAACAAATGCCTTTTGCCAAAGTCGATCTGCAAAAAGCCTGCGAATATGCTGCTGAAGATGCCGATGCAACTTTGTCATTGCACGAGGTTTTGTGGCCGAAAATTTCCCAGCATATTGATTTAAAAAGAGTTTATACGGATATTGAAATGCCAAGCCTGTTTGTGTTGCTGCGCATGGAGCGTCATGGCGTATTGATTGATGCTGCGCTGCTGGAAAAACAAGGCGTTAATCTTGCAGCTTCAATGTTACAACTCGAGCAAGACATTATGGCACAAGCGGGGATGAACTTTAATTTAAACTCGCCTAAACAAGTGGGCGAAGTGTTGTTTAACCATCTCAAATTACCCGTCATCAAAAAAACCAAGGGTGGGGCGATTTCCACCGATGAAGAAACTTTGCAAAAATTAGCACAAGATTACCCGATTCCAGCAAAAATTTTGGAATATCGTAGCCTTGCCAAGCTCAAATCAACTTATACCGATAAGTTGCCCAAAATGGTGAATGCACAAACGGGTAGAGTTCATACCAATTATGCTCAGGCAGTTGCCATTACAGGGCGATTATCGTCCAATGACCCCAATTTGCAAAATATACCGATTAAGAGCGAAGAGGGACGTAAAATTCGTGAAGCGTTTATCGCTCAGTCAGGGCATAAAATTTTGGCGGCCGATTATTCACAAATTGAATTGAGAATTATGGCTCATTTGTCAGAAGATGCTAACTTATTGAATGCGTTTAAACAAGGAGAAGATGTTCATCGTCATACGGCCAGTGATATTATGGGTATTCCCCTTGAAGAGGTCAGTAGTGAACAACGACGATTAGCTAAAGTGATTAACTTTGGTCTAATCTACGGTATGGGGGCATTTGGCTTAGCCAAAAACTTGGGGCTCGAGAGAGGCGCGGCACAACAATATATCGACCGTTATTTTGATCGTTATCCTGGCGTAGCGCAATATATGGCACAAAGCCGTGAAATGGCAAGAGAGCTTGGTTATGTCCAAACGGTCTTGGGAAGGCATTTGCGTTTGCCAGGGATAGTAGGTGGCAACTCGATTACACAAAAAGCAGCCGAACGGGCGGCCATTAATGCACCCATGCAGGGTACGGCAGCAGACATGATTAAATTAGCAATGATTGCGGTTGATGATTGGCTTAGCAAAGAGCAGCTTGGCAGCAAAATGATTATGCAAGTCCATGACGAACTCGTGTTTGAAGTGCCCGATCATGAAGTTGAAGTGTTAAAGGCTAAGATTCCACAAATCATGAGTGAGGTTTTACCACTAAAAGTTCCTGTCCTTGTTGAGGTCGGGGTGGGGGATAACTGGGAGCAGGCTCACTAGGGTTGCTCAATGTCAACCTAATTTCGTGGGCGATAAAAAAGATATAGGCTCTTCAAGATTGTCGGAGTGGCAGGTATATATTGGCTGGTCAACCGATACCAGCCTTGCTTTTAGGGTTTTTGGCTAGCTGGTGTTCGTGCATAGGCGTACGCTAACATTGCAGTACAAAGTCCAACAAAGGTGATGGCCATAAAGATATACGGCTTGGGACCACCATTGTGGCGATACTCGTGAAACATATAGCCCCAAAAAATCAACATGCTGATCAAAAAATCCACCGTAAATGCCGCAACCAGAGGACCGCTAAACAAGACTCGCCAATCAGGATCAAATGGGGCATTCGGAAAAGAAAAATAAGTTCCCCAAGCGGCAAATACGCTTAAGATAGCTAAAATTAAAAAGGTGTTTTTTTTCATGAGTATCTCCTGTTTGTTTTATCAAAATGTTATCACTTTTTGGCTAAGGTAGTGGGGTAATTCTAATTTGACATCCATTGTGAATCTGAAACGACGACGAAGAGATTGTTATGCAAGACAAGTGTCAAGACAAGGTGGCGTGACAAAATGCGCTACTACCTCAAGCATGTTACTGGCATATCATCGCTAACGGATCGTACATTTTCCTAGGGCTCATGATCAATCGAAGCGGATTCCTTGGGTTTCAGGCGTATCTGGGTGTGTTTTTGTCATGAAATGTTAAATATGAAAACAAATGTTAAGCATGGAACAAAAAACTTCAATAAATTTATCTGAAGGTGTAAAATAAAACTGAGTAGCTTTGTATCAGCAAATGTACTTGATGCATGGAGTTAGTCACAGTTGTTTTTTGACAAAATATTAGGAGGTTTTATGCAGGTTATGAACACTAAAGAAGCGTTATCACGAGTGACGGGAGGCGTAGCCCTTGACCAGGGACCCATCGAGCTCCTTATTAGGGCGGGCATAGAAATGGCCAAAAATGGTGAAGTTTCAAGTGAAACTCAAAATAAATTGAGTATGACCTTTGGTAATGGCAAAACGGCAAAAAATGCTTAAAATCAATAGCATGGCTTGATTGAATATATCGATGGGGTCAGATGCGATTGATTTTAAATAACATTTAAATATCAAATGACCCGACGTGCCGCGGTCATTTCTGACTCCCATTAAATAAAAAGCACAACCAATATATCAATGTTGACGGGTTAGGATTTGCTTCATTGTTTTGTTGATGGCTTTGAATTTATCGTCTCCCTCAAAACGAGAACAGCTTTTTTCATAAATGTACTCAGAATTTCCTCCAATCTTGCCAGAACCGATTGAAAAATAAGATTTTTCGCAGTCACATCTAAGTCTTGCTTTGATGCGCTTTGTTTTTTTGCTTCTTACCTCTGCAACCCAGCATGAGTCGGCGCAGCCACATGAGTGATATTCAAGAGTTTCTCTCGAATTTTCCCATTTGAGTTTGCTAGTTCCATCACAACAAGCAGCAGAGGCTACTGCCGAAAGTCCAAAAAAAATAAGAATTAGAATTAGATAGTTAGAGCGCTTTTTTATGTTCGACGAACTCCTAACGGAAATTATCGGAGTAAGCAAGATGAGATACACTTTGTTAAATGCCATTGATTATAAGGTATTTTTTGCATCAATATGTTTGTATGAGTGGCGAAGAGGATGCGTATGATGATGTGACCAATGTTTGCGGTTAGCGACGGTGAGCGTAGCGAACGACCTATTCTTTGTCAGAGCCTACGCTATGGTGGCGGGCGATTTGGCGAATCAGCAGTAGTACAAAAGCCGCAAACAGTAGGAGAGAAAGTAAACCAAACAAAAAGAAACCTGGACCAGGGATGCCTGCTGTCCCTGTTGTGATGGCACCTATTCTGATAGTTGCAAAAGCAAGTACTATGAAAACAACGGCTCCGAGTAGCAGCAATACGAGCCACTTGCTAGATTCCTCTGTTTTAGAAGAATCGGTGGGTTCCTGTTTACTCATACTTTGGTTCCGATCATCTCTGTGTCCTAACATAAATTACCAATAAAATACAACTTGCAACAATTATATGCTAACTATCCTGAAAAGTGAGAATCAATGGGTCGGACACCATTGATTTCGATTTCTTGGTTTTGCAAGCGACGACCCGCGGTATTACTTGTATTCAGGTCTAAGCTCTGGATTTTCTTCTAAAATAATCTTTGCGGTTTTGATGATCAATTGACCATTTTCAATAACGGCAATCCCAGTATTGGTTTGAACAGCGATACGTCTAGCTTCATAGGCTGCTCGTCGTAAGGCTTTGAGTGCGGCGGAATCACTTTCTTTGGGTTGTGTTTTGTCATCATGGCTCATGAGTTTTCTCCTCTAACAGAATAGGGTAATTTGTGGAGTTATCAAATAGCTCCCAATGATCGACAATAGATTTGTAATGGTTGTGAAAATTATATAATCCAGTCAAAAAGCGTCGTCTAATAATCTCTTCAGGGATATTATGCCCACCTTGATTGACGCGTAACTTGACTCGATGTACCGCTTCTTCAGCGTTAGGTAATGATAAAAAGTACAGAGTAACATAGTAACCAAGTGACTGCCATTTTTCAATATGGCGCAGGTATGTTAGTACGCATGTTATGGAAAGCCAGTACGCATGAGTTAATCATCATATAAATCATAATGTTGACAATCTCTCCAATCGTTGGCAAATCAACCCAATCGCACATCGCGGTGAAAACTCGAATATGCCCAATCTCTCACTCGTGCAACGTAACCATGTTTGACGGGGTTCCAATAAGTGTATTCAATATGCCTTGAATAATCAAGGTCATCCCGAATCATGTGTTCCCAGTAGTGACGCTGCCAAATCCCACGTTCCCCCGCTTTTTGGCGAACCAGAGACCGATATTCGGTCTTGGGCATTTGTTTAGAAAAGTGCGATTTAATCAAACGCCACCGCAAGCTAAAATCGGTATCATCAAGGGGCAACGTTAAAACACAATGCATATCCTCAGGCAAAACCACCCATGCATTTATTTTAAAAGGGTGTTTTAGTTGAATGTGGCGAACCGATGCGCGTAAAACATCAATATGATCAATTAACAATCGATTGTCATGACGCTCAAGCAGGTTAACCGTAAAAAACCATGTTCCTCCTTGTCGGTATGCACGTTTGTAGTTGGGCATGAAAAAAATTTGTGGTCTAAGTGTATAATATTTTAGCAGAACATGCGTACGATTACGCCTGAGTACAGGCTAATCGTACCTTGTATTATTAACCCTGTAGTCAGCTTATACTGATATACGATTTTGAGAGGCATCTCAAAAATAAAGTGGTGGTATGCCGCATCNCATTGACGGCGTAGGTGATCACACAGTGGCTGTTATTTTGGCATACTTTGGCGATGAAAATCGCTTTAGCCACTCCCGAAAAGTCGTAGCTTTTGCGGGCTTAGAGCCACGTCACCATGAATCAGGCAGTAGTGTCAAAGGTAAAACTCGTCTGTCAAAGGTCGGGCACACATTTATTCGTAAATCGTTGTATATGCCTGCTATTGTGACACTTTATAAAACCACTTGGGGCAGACTGTTTCGAGAGCGTCTCAAAAGTTATGGTAAGCCCAATATGGTCATTATTGGTGCAATGATGAGAAAACTACTGGTGGTTTGCTTTGGTGTCTTAAAGACTAAAAAACCCTTTGATGCCGCGCAACATCAAGTGATGGATAAAGCTTTAGCTTGATCAGAAACAAATCAAAAGGTGGTAAAACACCGTTCATGAACGGCGTGGTTAACGTCTCAGAGTAGACACGCCATTATTTTTGTAGATTTATGAAAGGAAATTTTATCAAAAAATTTAAAAAAATCTTATTTTTTAGTTGACATGATTAACAGTATCTACGCGGGCTGATTATTTCAGAGACAAATTTACCACCAACGTACCTTCTTAAAGGCCTTTACACACTTTTCGCCATACTCGCCCTGAACGTTAAAAAATTGATTCACTTTTCTACGCTCGTAATTACCACCAGATTTAATCAACTCATTTACCGTAACTGCGCAAACTTGGGAATTGTTAGTGCGCTTGATAAAAACCTTGCTAAAGTCTAAGGGTAAGGGGGGGGTCTCAAAAAGCAACTCATATTGCTTTCCTGCCGTAAATTTAGCCGAAAAGGGTACTGCACATGAATAAATCATATTGCCTTCACTTTTCCGTCCAATAAACATGAAATATTTTTCCTCTTCGCCTGAAACAAAGACCTCCTTTGCAGCATTCTTATGGTACATCCAAAGAGGCATACCAAGAGTTTTAGAGGAGTTATTTAGATATAGTGAATCCTCATTCAATATTTTCATCCACTCGGCTTCACCATCACAGTCCCTTGATCTGTAGTTCATTACGGTAACAAGGTAGTCCGAAGCAGTGGTGGCAAACCGAACTTTGGCTCTCTCTCCGGTTGTTGGCTCAACGTACTTAATTGTAGAACAGGATATAAAAAGAACGACCCCTACTAATAAAAATAAAAGCTTATTCATTAATGTAAATTCCCTAGCGTTATTTCTAAATAAAATTGCATCGGTCGAATAATGTAAATTATCAATAATCGTGATCAGATACACTTTGTCTCATCTTTACAGGAGTTCCTATTGGTATGAAGTGAAGCTGATCTGATTATTCTGACTATTTTAGAAGCGAATCTTACCACCAACAAGCACATAGAGCGGATTGAGTTTAAGCTCATATGGAGTTCCTTTGGGTTTCAACTTCAATGGTTGATAACTCACATCAACGCCAAGCGATATGTTGTCAGAAAGATTATAGTCCGCCCCAACAGAGAATAAGACTGATGCCTTAGATTTCAGATCAGAGTTGGCTTTACTAAAGGCAAACGCAATCCCTCCATAAGGTGAAATTGGGCTTCCTGTATCAACAAAATATTTAGGGCCGACAAAAAAGGTAGTTATATTGAGTCGGTTAACCAGTTCCCTAACATTGCCTTTACTAGCAGCCGAAACAGTCTGTATTCCTCCATCAATAGCCAATCCATCTATTAGAAAATGGCCTCCGGAAAAATTCCCAGAAAAACCTGTCCTCTGCAATTTGTCAGACGTCTGCCCGTTATACGAAAGTTTCCCCATAGGTGGCGTTCCTCCAAAGGCAAAACCCATATAGCTCCTTCCTGCTTTTAGCGGCCCGTTTCCAGAATCAGCGGGCATCACAGGCTGATCCTCTGGAACCACTGTAACTATCGCTTCTGCCGGTGTGTCAGCGGATTGCGCTAAAGTCCAAGTAGGAAGGCTCGAAATGGCAGTAATTGCTGCCCATTGTAAAATTTGATTTTTTCTCATGTCACCCCCAACAAAATTAATAAAATGAGTTCTTTCAAACCCTATGGAAGTTTTCGTTTATAAATTTCTGAATGAGCAGCAATACCCCCATGCAGATAATTATAGACTAAGGCGGATTCAACTTTGAAGTGCAACCCCTAGGTGAATTATAACGGCTAACATCGAAAATGAAAACCCGCCCACACTTCAAGTGGCGTTTGCCACCCTAACCTAAATCCCGCGCTAATAAAGTTAAACAATCACTAAAACCTTGATTGATTTGTATTAAAATATGGTTTACGAAGCTATATTTTTCACCCAAAAGGTGAACAAACCATCAAGGTCAGTTAATTATGCCACAACAGCAAGCATCCCGTGTTTTACCCTTTCAAGTCCATTCATGCGAACAACCTATGACGAGTCAAGCGGGCATGGTTCTGTTCGGTGAATTTTTACATCAAATTGATTTTAATCGTCTTTCTTGTGATTGCTTACCTATTAACCTTCGCAATAGTGGTTATACAGCAGGTGAAATACTCTCTGCCTTGATGTTGTTGCTCACGGCTGGGGGATATCGGCTTGATGATATGCGACAAATTGCAGAAGATCAGGTTTTAAACAAATTGCTGAAACTCAATGTCCCTAGCAGTGATGCCCTTGGCGATTGGTTAAGACGTAAAGGTTTTGCAGGCGTACAAGGGTGTTCGAAATTGAATCAACAACTTTTGAGTTTATTTTTAGCTGGTGGAGAACGCACCCAACACACCTTAGATATTGATGCGACAGGGATTCTCGCCAATAAAAAAGCCGCACAGTTTACTTATAAAGGGTTTGCAGGATACATGCCGGTTGTCGCTCATTTGGCGCAAACCAATTGGGTGGTTCACACGGAGTTTAGAGACGGCAATGTTGCCCCCGCTTTTGATTTGTTATCGGTGATCAAAAGTAGTATAGCCGCTATGCCTAAGGGCCATCGCATTACTCAGCTGCGCGCTGATGCAGCGACTTATCAAAAAGAAATTTTTGAGTATTGTGAGCAACAAGGACTAGAATATGCGATCGGGGGTAAGATTAATTCTGGCTTGCGTGAACGTATTACTTTGATTCCTAGCCACCAATGGCAAGCTTTTGATAACGCTTGGGTTGCTGAAATTCCTCATCAAATGAATGGGATGGATAAACCTTTTCGATTGATCGTGGTCTCCTACTCATCACAGCAACCATTGTTTGATGATGGCTCGTATTACCACCTCATTGCAACGAACCATACGGGCGCAATCGCAAAAATTGTTGAGTGGTATCGGCAACGAGGGGATAAAAGTGAAAACAACATCAAAGAGTTGAAAAATGGCTTTGGCATGTCTCACATGCCTTGCGGGCAATTCGCGGCAAATGCGTTGTATTTTTGGGTCGGTGCATTGGCTAACAACCTATTTAACTGGTTCAAAACCATTGCATTAGATGATTCGATGAAACATCACACAGTCAAAACCATTCGCTGGGAAATTTTTCAAATCCCTGGGAAGTTAGTTTATCATGCCCGCCAGACTCTTTTGAAAATCTCAGAATCTTGTATTGAGATTTTTAGGAGTATTCGGCTTAAGATCGCTCAGTTTAGGGTGCCTCTAGTCACATAACACCCCAAAAAAACATCAAAAAACCCTTTACACTCAATTGAGTTGGCTAGCGCACGCACTTAGATTTGGGTTTATACTGAAACAGAGCAAAATCGCTTGTTTGCACCACCATTTTTGATGGCTACAGACCATCGTCAACCACAAAACTTACGATAAACCCCTTTTGTTATTCAGTTCAGGGGATTTTGGCTTTAAAAATTGCTTAGAGCGGGATTTGGGTTGACATGATTAACAGTATCTACGCGGGCTGCCTCTTTTAAATGAAGCGTTAGCGATCAGCGCCGTTGGTACGATTAGCCTCTAGAGAGGCGCATGTTATGGAAAGCCAGTGTCACAGCGAACACCATGATTGTATGATATTTAACTCATACGTACGATTACGCCTGCGTACAGGCTAACGTTTTAATTCAGCGGACAAAGCAGCTTTTCGCGCAGGTCCGTTCGAATGATGGGTTAGCCATTTCATTGCGGTGGGGAATTCGATTGCCCCAGCTCGCCTGATGAACTCGGTACTCGCCTCCTCTGAGAGTGTCAGCAAAGTTAAGTGCACCGGCAGTTGGCAGTACTTCTCAAGATCAACCACGGTCTCTCGATGAACTGAGTAAGCTTTTCGCGGTGGGCATGCTTGTGGATCATATACAACTAAAACATCGAGGTCATTGGGGGTAGTTGACGTAAGCGCTGAGCCAAAAAAATAGAGCTTTGACGACTTAGGGATTCTTATAGGCGTAGATCGGGTTTCCATCGTTATCCTTTCTATGGTAGAGCTTTGGAAGCCTCCAATTTAGTGCGCCCAAGAATTCTACTATGTTGAATACGCCGATTTCGTTGTTCCAGCCATATTCCTTTGCCTCGGGTGTATAGCCATTCCAGGCTGCACCCGTTACAACATACTCGATTTCAGGGAATTCATGCTTTGCTCGTAGAACAGCTGCTAGACCAATTGAGTATTCGTAAACCAAAAGGACATGTAGTGTCGTTCCATTCACGTGTTTAAGAACAAAATGAATGTCATCTTTGCGTGTATAGCTTTCAACTTTGTCGTGTCCGCTGAGCACATCCTCGAAGAATTTAATGATGGCATACGAGACGCCCCAGTTATTGAAGTCCGGCATATCGGTCTACAAGCCTTTCAAAATCCACAGGGAACCTCGGGACGCCTTCTGTACGAACGTAACAATTACGCTCGAATCCCTCTGCATGCTCCACGAACGCCACGCAGTTTTGATAGTCAGGGATGTCGAACAATTCTCTGTTTTGCGCGATCAGGTGAATAACGCGTCGATTGTTGGGAACAACAGTATCGAGTTTTCTAAGTTGCCAAACATCTGCCAAGCTACTCATTGGATTCCTATGTGCCTCGGCGGATTCTGGTCCGTACTGTCGCCACGCAGCATGGCTTTCGATTAACAGTCTTTTGATTGCTATTCCGAGGCTGCGTTGATCAGGATACTTCGGACTAAGGAAGGAGTTTCTGACGCGCTCCTCATGCAGACGTTTCCATTCGTGAATTCTTTCAACGGGGAAGGTTCCTTCTGGCGCTTTGTCGATTTCCGTATGATGGGTCGGGCAGAGAAGGACTAGGTTTTCGTATGTATCTTCGCCGCCGCTTGTATGACCTCTGGGGCCATTAGGTTTCTTGGAAATGACATGAGCCATCTCACCAATCACGGTCGGGTCGTTTGAATTAAGAAAGCGTATGCATTCCACCTCGCACCCCGGAAAAGAGCACCGTCCTGCGGAGAGCCCCCAGAGTTTTTTGACATCTTTTTCCGATACGGCCATAGATGGTCCTTACAAAGGCTAACGTAAATTATCAATAATATACAACAAGCTAAGAGTATAGTATATTATTGTACATCTTTCTAATCACAATCTAACTAATTAAAAAATATAAACAATATACTGATCCAGAAATCATATCCGAAGCCAAACAACTAGCCTCAAACCACCACATTCACCAACTTCCCCTTCACCACAATCACCTTCTTAGGCTCGCGTCCTTCGCCAAACTCCTTTACCTTCTCATGCGCACGTGCTAAGGTTTCAATCGTCGCATTATCGGCGTTGCTTGCAACAACCATGCTCCCGCGCAATTTGCCATTGATTTGTAGCATGAGTTCGATTTCTTCTTGCACTAAAGCTTGTGGATCAATAGCTTGCCACGGGCAATCGAGCAAATCGCCTAGGCGTTTAGCAAAGCCGAGTTCATTCCAAAGTGTTACGGTGATGTGTGGCACAACAGGGTAGAGGGTGTGCAATAAAATTTGCATGGCTTCTAAGCGCACAGGTGCGGAGATTTCTCCTGCATCTTCAATGCTATTTAACATTTTCATGCCGCTAGAGACCACGGTGTTGTATTGCAAGCGTTCGTAGTCAAAGGTGGCTTGTTGCAGGTTAAGATACATTTCGCGTCTTAAGGTTTGCTCGGTCTTGTTTAACTTATTGAATATTAACGTAGATACATTTTGATTGCTAGAAGTGAGCTCATCTTGGTATTTAAAACAATAATTCCACAAACGGCGCAAAAAGCGGTTGGCCCCTTCAACGCCTGAATCGCTCCATGCTGCGCTTTGATCAGGGGGGCCAGCAAACATGGTGAAAAGACGGGCGGTGTCGGCACCATAGTGTTCGATAATGGTTTTGGGTTCGACCACGTTGTTTTTGGATTTGGACATTTTTTCAATGCCACCTAAATTGACGGCTTGACCGTCGGTTTTTAGGTTTGCACCGATCGGTTTGCCTTTGTCGTCAAATTGGATTTCGACTTCGGAAGGGTAGTACCATGTTTTTTTGCCATTTTCTGCTTCGCGGTAAAAACTTTCGTTGAGTAACATGCCTTGTGTGAACAAATTGGTAAAAGGTTCGGCAAAATCGACCAAGCCCATATCACGCATGACTTTGGTCCAAAAGCGGGCATAGAGTAAGTGTAAAACGGCGTGTTCAATACCACCGATGTATTGATTCATTGGCATCCAGTGTTTGACGCGCTCATCAACCATTGTTGGCGCGTCTGGACAGCAATAACGAATAAAGTACCATGATGAATCCACAAACGTATCCATTGTGTCAGTTTCACGTTTGGCAGCAGCTCCACAGGTAGGGCAAGGGGTGTTAATAAAAGAATCACATTTATTTAAGGGGTTACCCGAGCCATCAGGAATTAAATCGGTAGGTAACACGACGGGCAGTTGCTCGTAGGGCACAGGAACATCGCCGCAATTGGGGCAATGAATCATGGGGATAGGCGTGCCCCAATAACGTTGACGTGAAATGCCCCAATCACGCAGGCGGTAGGTGGTGCGTTTTTCACCAATGCCTAACGCAATAAATTGATTGGCTATTTTGTCAACGGCAGCTTCGTAGCCTAAGCCATCGAGTTCGCCTGAGTTGATACAGGCAATATTTTGTTTATCCGCATACCATTCTTGCCAAGTATCAAGGGTAAAGGTATTTTTAGGATTGCTTGACGCAATAACTTGTTTAATTTCAATGGCATATTTTTTGGCAAAGGCAAAATCGCGTTCGTCATGAGCAGGAACTCCCATGACTGCACCATCTCCATAACTCATCAAGACATAATTACCGACCCACACAGGAATATTTTCGCCCGTGATGGGATGTGTCACAAAGAGAGAGGTTTTGACGCCTTCTTTTTCTTTGAGTGCAAGTTCAGCTTCGGTCGTGCCGCCTTTTTGACATTCAATAATAAAATCAGCAACTTTCTGATCCGATTGGGCTGCCAAAGCTGCTAAGGGGTGTTCAGGCGCCACCGCCACAAACGTCACGCCCATGATCGTATCGGCTCGCGTTGTAAAAACATACAACTTGCCATCTTGGATGGATTGACCATCATGGCCTTTGATGTCGTGTGGAAAGGCAAAACGAACTCCCACTGATTTGCCAATCCAGTTTTCCTGCATGGCACGCACTTGATTGGGCCAACCTTTTAAATAGTTCGGATCACTTTCATCAGCAACAGCGGATAATAATTCCTCTGCATAATCCGTTATTTTGAAATAATAGCCAGGGACTTCACGTTTTTCAACCAATGCACCAGAGCGCCAACCACGACCATCGATGACTTGTTCGTTTGCTAAAACCGTTTGGTCGATAGGATCCCAGTTAACCACTTGAGTTTTTTTGTAAGCGATGCCTTTTTCTAGCATTTTAAGGAAAAGCCATTGATTCCAATGATAATAATTAGGGTCACAGGTGGCTAATTCGCGCGACCAATCAAAAGCCAAGCCTAGCGGTTGCATTTGCGCTTTCATGTCAGCAATATTGGCGTACGTCCATGCGTGTGGCGCAACGTTTTGCGCGATAGCCGCATTTTCAGCAGGCATGCCAAAAGCATCCCAGCCCATCGGCATTAAAACGTTATAACCCTTGGCACGCAAAAACCGTGTCATCACATCGTTAATAGTGTAATTACGCACATG